AGAGAGAGAGAGAGAGAGAGAGAGAGAGAGAGAGAGAGAGAGAGAGAGAGAGAGAGAGAGAGAGAGGTTTAATGGTGACTGGGAAGTCACTGTAAGGGTTTGAGTTGCCGAGTTCCGTATTTCTTTCCTAAAATCAATGTTGTCGGATATGACATATGTTGCACATTATTTGTGTGAACTTGTTGAAATTTGAATGCATTTGATTTCTGTTCATCTGATACTGAACGATTGTGATGTGAAAGGACATGTTTGTGGTGTGAGAGGACATGTTTGTGGTGTCCCATGATTTGTTCACGGCAACTTCATGCGCCAGTCAGTTCTGCCAATTTTATTAATGTGTGGTTTATTTTACTCTTACTTCGGTTATTAACTTATTAGTACTTAATTACCATTCTGATTGTGGTTGCAGAGAGCAAGGGAAGAACAAGTTCCTGATTCATGAATGCAGAAAACTACGAGGAATGGCACATGGGCACACCGCGTCGCAGAGCATTAACCATGGAGTGAGTGAAGACTTCGAGCTTGATCCCTGTTTCCATGTCACTTCCCAGTAGCACACACCACGAGCATACAGTGCGGTGGGGCTGTTTGAACTTTCAAGGAATGTCTTCTGAGTCCCTTGTGTGCATCTTTTCCGGGAGATGCGCCTGGATGCTCCACGCTACTGCACACGGACTTGTTTGTCTTGTTATGTTGTCAGAAATTCATAATTGTATATAACAAATCGTAGGAAGTAACTAGGAACTGAAATGTCTCACAATTGTGAGATGGTGATGTCTTTCTTTCTTCCCCGGCAATTTCTACTGGTGTGGACGGAAGGCGTAAGAGCTATGCACAGCTCGATGTTCCTCTCCCTACCCCCGTTGGATCTTCGCCAGAAAGGGAAGTATGCTCTGGTCCTCTGGTCCCCATGGTTTACTGAAAAATTAAATGCAGATATAGAATTGATAGAATTGCGGTATAGATGCGCATAGCCCCGTGCTGAGCGTGCATAGCTCAGCATTCCATTTAAGTCAATGTCTGCTAGTATCTCAGATTTGTAGAAAATTGCTGTGAGCCGTGGGAACTAGGCACAGGCCTATGGAACAATGGGACCATAGGACCGTGGAATGACGTACAGCATGTACAGCTGAGGAGAGGGTGTAGGTGGATGGTGGATGGTGGATGGTGGACGGTGGATGGTGTGGATGGAACGGCAGTGTAAGCTGGCAGGGGAGGGAATGGAGGGGAACGAAGGCTAGTGACTGATTGAAGGGTGGTGATGATTAATATTTTAATCATTTCATTTGATGATTAATATTTTTATCATTTCAGTTTTTTTTGGTCATGATCGATCGTATGCATAATACTGTGTATCGAGGACTGTTGAATGATGCTTTTACTGTGCTGATCAACAGAGAGAGGGAGTGAGCCGATGAATGCGGAAACCAGATGCATGAACTGGCCCACAGGGCGCAGTTGTTGCGTGGCATGCTGGGCCATCTATCTGAGCTTGTTATGAGGAGACTACAGAAATACTGAGGGCTGTTTGTTCACTGGTTTTCCAGGACGCAATGTTTACGGCTCTGATTAAGAGTTAGGGGCTTGTCACCGGTAAACATGCTGGAAGCTGGGGGAAGCACAGTACAGGGCATATGGCAACGAACGACTTCCACGCGTGTGGTGATGGATTTGGAGGATCTTCTGAATATAGCTGTGGTGAAATCTTGTGTATAGCTTGTAGTGGGGGTTGAATCTGATCGCTACCACTAGGTCGGAGTTTGAAGCTGGACGTACGAAGTTGAGTACCTCGTCCAGCGATGGAATTGGAGGATCTCCTGAATATGGTTGTGGTGATATCTTGTGGCTAGCTTGGAGTGTCCCAAGTTCCCAACAGATTGGGAGGGGCTGTATCTGATCGCAACAGCTAGGTCAGAGTTGGAACTGACTTAAAGTTGAGTACGCACGTGCGGTGATGGATTCACTCTTTTCAGAGTATCTCCTGAATATAGACGCGGAGCCTGTGGTGAAATCTGGCTAGCTTGCAGATTCCCAACAGATTTTGGCAGGGGTTGTATCTGATTGGAACAGCTAGGTCAGAGTTGGGACTGACGTAGGATTGAGTACGCACCTGCGGAGAGATTTGAAGGATCTCTTGAATATAGGTGTGGTGAAATCTTGTGACGACTACTAGTCGCTTGCAGAGTTACAACCGACGGGGGGCGCTTGTATCTGCTCACAGCAGCTAGTGTTTCCACCCGAATAGCACAGCCGGTCTTTTAGTGTATTTGGTTTGGTGCAACTTTCGGTCGAGATACAGTGAGAATGATCAGGCATTCTATCCAGTTGAAGACGATAAGTCAAAGTTGGAACTGGTTCAAAGATGAGGCCCCCACTGTCAGAAGTGATTGGACAAGAGATGTATGTGTTGGAATGGATTAGAATGGTTACCTTGTGTATAGGTTGGGTTTTGGGATGGATTGGGATTATTTGGATTGTGTATAGGTGGAACTGGAGTTGGTTTTTAGCGCGACTACGCCGATTAGCAATATTACTCTTTTTCTCTCGCATTGCTTATTAAACGACCAGCACATCTGAGCCTGGCGGATTTCCCCTACGCGACGCAAAGTTTGCCGAAACGCCAGCGTGGCGTATTTGTTGTCGATTTGGCTGGCGCCTCCGGCCTTTTTGGTCTGGTTGCCAGATCCTCCGAAATTTTAGGAGTGAGGTGTTCGCCTTCTCAAAGATGCCTGAGGCCATGTGCTGGCGGTTTAAGATCGCTAATAATCAATGGCAGATTGTGTGCAGGTTGCATCGGAATTGGTTGCGACAGTCTGCAGATGAAAGTTGTAACTGCTTTGCAGATTCCTAAACATTGTTTGGGAATGGGATCGTCAGATTCGTCACCTGTTCCCGTCGCGCATGTGATGATGAGGATAGATGAGATGAGGGTATGGGTGGTCCTTGCAATAAATAGGTCGACGGGGTGGCAGTTGGAACAGGGGTCTGTAACCTGTTCGAGTTGCAGATCAATAAATTAGGGTGGTTCTAAATTCTAATGCTTCTCAGAATAGAGACAAGAAAAAAAAAATGCAGTTGCAACTGGTGCCTGGGCCCTGACGTTAGAATTGGAATGGATACGGAACCTGTTTGAACAGACACCTGAACACTAGTGGAATTTGTAGTTGGGATGGGTTTGTAAAGAGGGGTTCGAATGGCTGTGGAAAGGGGGGGAACAGCAAATGATAAGGGTAGGGACTTTGGAGTTTCGTACCCAGCCCCCCATGCGACTGAGCGAGTCAGAGTACACACGTGTAACTGTTGATCGACAGATCAGGAGTTTGAATCCTGGGGAATCAAATTGATATAATAACTGTAGTGGCCACCTCTTTCGGAAAAAGTAGAAAAAAGAGAGAGCAGGGTGATCCTGATAATAAATGAATGGCACTAGGAAGTAGTTTCTGCAAATGGATCGATTGGTTGGCCTGACTTCTGAGAACTTGTGAGAGATTATGAGGTGAGGGTGATTGCAATGGAAGAAGCTAAGATTTGGAGGCGGTTCGTAAAAGTCCATCGGGTTACCTGTTGAATGGGTTCGGACTTGGAAGGTTGGGAAGCAGCAGCTGCTCTTCGAGTTCCAAGTGCTACCCAGTTTTCCAACCCTTAGGCCTGCTGGAACGTACCTACCGGTTGTTGTGGCCGTTAACGCGGCAGCCGAATCGGTCTTCCCATCGGGTCCATATTCATTAGACGGGGGCGGGGGGGGAGGGGTATGAAAAATGTGGTACGTACTGGTGGTTTAACTGGTTCTGGTGGATGTGCGATGAACATGAACCGAGTTCGAAATCCGTGCGGACGTAGGCCAGAGTCGTAACTTTTGGTCCAAGTCTAGATTCAGGGGGCCAAAGGCACAGGGCAGTTTAAGGGCAGGGCATTGGTTTTCTCTGAGGGAAAGGGGGTTGATGACCGCAATGCAGTGGTTGTGCGTTGCAACCTCCGCATCCAGTATTGTTCGCTTGGCTTCCGCATTGGGAAGGAGTTCTATCCTGCGGGTGTAGCATCTTGGAGGAAACTGCTGTGTCTGGATGGGGGTTAAGTGCAGTAACTGAGGGTTGTACTATTCTGGGGCCGGGGTTGATGGGTTGTGTCGACCTTAGGTGGAGGCAGATAGTGCCAAGGGGCTAGTCTTCCTTCGTGGCGGAAGTGGTCGTGTTCTCTCCCGTTCCTTTTGGCTGTGTAGGGAGTTTTGGTTAGGTAGCGTAGGCAGCCATTATGCTTTGGTGCAGTTGTGCTCTTATGATCCTCGGCATACCTCAGAAGTTTGATCTGTTTGTCGCAGACAGGGCCGGGTTGTGGCCCCGGCAGCGTAGTCCGAAGATCGGTCTGTTTTCATCAGTCGAAGCGGGGTAATGGTCCCGGTACTTCAATTTGTTCTGTAAAATTCTCATATGGGACACTGGGCCCGGTTCCCAGCATGTGCTGCTCCGCACGGATAGATTGGAGCATTTTGTCCCAAACAAAAACACCACAAAGACAGAAAAAATAAACAAGGGGTCAAAAGGCACCTCTCTTGTCGTTGAGGGGTCTGAGAAAAGTATGAGGGTCAACAGGTATAGGGTCCAGGCCTCCAGGGTCAAACCAGGCAACCTGGGCTCCCATGTGAGACAGTTGACACCTGGAAAATAAGAAGTCAGGCCCAACCCAGCAAAAGTACACCAGGGAGATTCCTCAGCAGTGAACCACAGTTACAGTTCGTGCGCGCAATCAGAGGCTGTTCGCATTTGTTCCAGAAATTTCCAGGGCCTAAGAGGGTCCAGGCATATCGAGACCGGCAGCGAATGCCCCAGGTTGAGAAATCTCCAGTATTGGAGGAGGCAGACTGAGGCAGGCCTTGGCCAGTCAACGCTACGGACAAATGGTCAGCCCAGTGGTTCATTCATTCTGCCTTGCACACATTGGTTGTCAGAGTGCTGCTGGGCGAGGCAGGGAGGAGAGGGGAGGCTGCCGCCGTAGAGGGAAAAGACTGCGCCAGCCCAGGAAGGAGGCAGCTAGTGGTATCGATAGCGAGGAAGGGCGCCTGGCGTCACAGCTTGAGCTCAGAGGTAGGGCAAGGATGAGGGTGATCAGGACTGCGAGGAGAGAGAGAGAGAGAGAGAGAGAGAGAGAGAGAGAGAGAGAGAGAGAGAGAGAGAGAGAGAGAGAGAGAG